CGAGATGGTGCGTTCATTGTGGTGTCGACATTCCACTTCAATCATCGGCCGAGGCCTATGAAGACTAATCCAACATAAAACCGGTTTAACATCATCGCTCGGATTTATTGGGTATCAAAAACCCAACAAGGGCCACTGAGGTGTGTACCCGATCATAAACTTCAGGCCCCGTGGGATTAGTCGAGGTGCGTGTAAGCTGGCCCGGACATCCACAGTTATTTAAAAAAAAAAACTTGAAAAAAAAGAATAAATCGAAGCTTCAAATTAAAAATGATATTTTCATTTCTTAAAATGTGGAGGAGAATACTCACTGGAGACAGAATAATAATCTTAAAACTTAATGACCGAGCGAATTTTCGTTTTTTCTATTGAAATTCCATAAAATGAACATGAATACTTTTACTGGGTTTTATGGAAAAAAAAATGGACAATTATACAGTGAAATTTGGGTTTTACAAAATGGAATTTAGGGTTCCGTTGAGATAATAGGGAGAGAGACTGAAAGAGGGGGAGGGCTATTGTTTGCTGGGTTGAACCAGTCTAAGATTATGAGGCCCAATAAAGTTTTTCTTAAGAGAAGGTGCGGCCCAATGGATATTTTTACACAATTGACAAAAGAACAATTTTAGCACTTTTTGGATTGTTTTTGCCTTTTAGTGCTACCTGATACTGATTTTTGCACCTTGTACAACAATTTTTTTACTCGTATTACAATGTCTTTAATTCTATCGAAGGACAAAAAATTTGGCTTTCTAGCAATTGTCAATTCAAATAACACTATTCCCAAGGCTATCAACTTTACATATATAATCTTTTAATTTGTCATTATCTCAATCTTTTAATTTCTCATTGTCTCGAGTTGAGTTAATAAATAATTATATATTTTTAAGATGGAAAGGTAGCCTAGAAGTCGACTTTTTCTTAAGAATATGTCATGGGTAACTCGACCTTTTCTTAAGAATATGTCGTGGGTTAGTATTAAGACTTTTGATTTCATCTTAAAAGGCCAATTTTATTAAGATGGGTAGTCCGAATTCTTATAAATTAGTCAAAGTTTTCATCTTTATTTGATATAAGATTTTATCCCTTAATATGCCCCCACAATATGGTAACTTGTTTGGGCAAATCAATCTTGTTGCTCGTTCAAGTTTAATGGACTCTAATACTTGATTGACAACAAGTTTGACACTCTTTCATGTGAACGCATCCACCCATCACTNGTTCTAGTTTAATGGACTCTAATACTTGATTGACAACAAGTTTGACACTCTTGCATGTGAACGCATCCACCCATCACTGCCTATATTTCTTCCACCAAGGGCATGTCATCCTTGAAGTCAACCAAGGATGTACATCTAGCTTAATTGATCGGATATATAAAATGATTTTGAAAAAATCGATCATTTATCATTTACATTATATATATATATAGGCAAGCAAGTTTTTTAACTCAAAATAGGTAGATAAATATTTTTAAATAGGACTAATGTTCAAACCGACTAACAAAATATTCGGTTTCAACAATTGAATTGGGTCGTTTGGGTTGTAATTTATCCAAATAGACCAAGTTGGTTTCGATTTCGAGTTGGACTCAAAATCAACACAACCCAAACCCTGCCCAGGCCTACTTGTTAGGAAAAGTAGCTTAAACCCTTATAAATTTATCTATGTTTTTATCTTTATTTGATGTGAAATTTTTATCTTTTAATAAGTCCCCGCAAGCTGGTGGCTCATTTGAGTAGATTAATCTTGAAATTCATGTGTTCATTTTTTGAGTTTTAATCAAATCTGTTGCTCGTTTGAGTTTAGTGGGTTTTGATACTATATTAAGACTTGGAATTATGTCTTAAAAAGTCAATCTTATTAAGGAGTAGCCTAAATCCTTATAAATTAGTCTATATTTTCATTTTTATTCGATGTAAGATTTTATCGTCAACATTTAGTTAAGTACTATAGGGAGAACTGCTTGAATTTGACTGATTTCTTACCATTTGTTCGATGACAAAATTCATTTAGAAATTTAACGGACCTCATACCCTATTTATATTTTATATTTTGGCATAAAGGGTGTTAATGGTCTAGTTAAGTTGGATCTCCGTGTTGATATAGCAATGAATCAAACGGAACGGTGAATTTTTTTCATGTGTCTGTTCAGAAAATTATTGAGAACAATGTACGACGAATTTCGTGTATTAAAATACAAAAATCGTTTCAAATTGTATTTTGAGAAATACAAA